TCAGCTGCTCCCAGGACACTGGGATATGAGAGGATCCTGGTTAGAAGCCAGCCCAGGCAGGAAAATCCAATGAACCAACTAGTAAAAGACGAAAGGAGAGCCGTGGTTCAAGTGGGGGGGGGGCAAAAGAGCTCGGGGAACAGCGCCCAGGCCCTGAGTTCGAGCCCCAGCACTGACACCTCCCCCCCCCAAAGCTTGATGAATGAATTTAGCCCCGGGCAGCCAGAGGACTAAAAGACCAGGGCAGGGTCCTGGGGAGGCGCCTCACCGGTGCATTCCCGCGTGGGAGCAGATGGGGGGCTGCAGGCGGATATCGGGGTACCACCCCCCCTCCTCCCTCTCTGCCTGCAGGCTGGCCGTGTGCACGCTCCTCCGGCTGCAGCTGCTGCTCGCGCTGGGCGCGTGGTGCGCGCGGGCGAGCGCCCCGCGCTGCAGCTACACCTTCGTGCTGCCCGCGCACAAGTTCACGGGCGCCGTGTGCTGGAGCGGAGGCCCCGCCCCCGCGCGCCCGACGGCCGAGGCCGCCAACGCCAGCGAGCTGGCCGCGCTGCGCGTGCGCCTGGGGCGCCACGAGGAGCAGCTGCGCGAGCTGCAGCGATTGGCCGCCGCCGACGGCGCCGTGGCCGGCGAGGTGCGCGCGCTGCGCAAGGAGAGCCGCGGCCTGAGCGCGCGCCTGGGCCAGCTGCGCGCGCAGCTGCAGGACGAGGCGGCGCCGGGGGCGGGGCCGACGGCGTCGGGGGCGGAGCCCGGGGCGGAGCCTGCCGCCGCGCTGGAGCTGCTCGGCGAGCGCGTGCTCAATGCCTCGGCCGAGGCGCAGCGGGCCGCCGCCCGCTTCCACCTGCTGGACGCCCGCTTCCGGGAGCTGGCCCAGCTGGTGAGCCGGCAGAGCGGCCTCATCGCCCGCCTGGAGCGCCTGTGCCCCGCGGGCGCCGCCGGGCAGCAGCAGGTAATCGCCTGGAGCCTTTCCTGGGAGCCGGCCACGGGGGGGGGGGGGGCGGCCAAACCCCTGTCCATTATCCGCAATTCCAAAATCCGCAAAAAATGTAAATACATAAATATAAATATGTACTGTCTACACACATATATGCGGCCATGGCATGTGTAATATAGAGTACAATGATAGATAATATATAGCATATAAACGTACCTATATAATACATAAGTACATATATAACTAATATATACATACATGTCATATATACTATATCATATAATATATAAATACAGCATATATAAATATATAAGTACTTATGTAATATGTAACTATATAGTATAAACAGTATACAATATGTAATATATAAATATATCAATATACCACATATGTGGTATATGGTATAATTATATGAATATAGTATATATAAAATATAGGGTATATAAATATATAAACATATAGTATATATAAATATATGGTATATATAAATAGTATAGAGTATATACATAGTATATATAAATATGTACTTATATATAAATATAGTATGTATACTTATAAATACATATATAACTATATATAAATGTAATACATATTACATATAATACAATAACAAATATATATAAGTATTTATATGTGTATATATATGTAAACTTGTATATATATGTATATATGTACATATATGTATATATATACTTGTATATATATATATATATATATATATATATGAGCGGCTTCTTGATGTAAATATCAGGCATATTATTATCACTACCACAGAAAGTCCAAGGAGTGTCTCTTTGTGCCTTGTTAAACGGCGTTGTAGAACTCAAGGCCTCTGGTACTTACCTCCTGGGCTTTGCTCAGTTTGTGGGTGGAAAGGAACACCGGTCAAGATTTTAATGGTGCTCTGCCGCTGGAGCCACACCTCCAGCCCTGCTTTTTGCTGGTTACTTTGGAGGTGGATTTTTTTTGGGGGGGTCCAGTCGTGGGGCCTGTACTCAGGGCCTGGGCGCTGTCCCTCAGCTCTTCAGCTCAAGGCTAGCGCTCTGCCACTTGAGCCACAGCGCCACTTCTGGTTTTCTGGTGGTTACTTGGAGATAAGAGTCTCATGGACTTTCCTGCCCGAGCTGGCTTTGAACCGCAATCCTCAGATCTCAGCCTCCTGAGTAGCTAGGATGACAGGTGTGAGCCACCGGGGCCCAACAGGATTTTTTTCTTTTCTATTCTGTAACATGATCCTCCGGATCTCAGCTTCCTGACTGGGAGTGTTAGCCAGCTGAGCCTGGCCTCCCAGGTTTTTGGGGTTCCCCTCCTTTCTTCCTGCAGTGCCAGGGCTGGAACCTAGCAAGGCCACTGTTGTACCACGCAGCCGCACCTCAGCCCTGTTCCTAACTTTCGGGTTTGAGATTGTTGTGCTGTTGGTCCCTAGTTACATTAAGGAGTAGGTGAGGGAGAATTTGGTAAATTAATACTCAACGCTGGATGTGTTCTACAGGTATTCCTATTTGAAGAGAGGGAAACTGAGGCAGAGACCTGTTAAGCTCTGAGCACCAGATCAGGCATGTTCGTGCAGGGCCCCCGAGACGCAGCCTCTGGCACCCAGGCAGATTCCATCACGTCTGGCTTTCTTCCTTACCCCAGGTCCTGCCGCCACCCCTGGTGCCTGTGGTACCCCTGAGTCTCGTGGGCAGTGCCAATAACCCCAGCAGGAGAGAAGACAGTCTGAGACTGCAGGGACCCCCAGCCTCTCCCATGCCCGCAGGGAACCCTGCTGCCCCCACCAAACCAGCAGGTAAGATGGGGCAGGGGGAGTTGGGGCATGTCTAGAGACTTCTGGGAGATTCCTAGACTTCACTGTGGGTAGGAAGAAGTGGAAGTCCGAATTTTAATGGGAAGTTCCACTCATGAGAGGATTTGAGGAAATGAGCCTCTTATTTTGATGGGGGGGACAAAAAGATGGCACTCTTATTCTGATAAAAAGGGGAAAAAATAAACAGATCAGGCTGGTAATACAGCACAGTGGTAGAGTGCCTGTACACAAGGCCTTGGCTCCATCTTCATTACCACAGATGCGCGTGCACATGCACACACACACACACACACACACACAGAGCTAAGCTTTGTGTGTCTACACCAGTACTGGGGTTTGAACTCAGGCCCTTGCACTCACTTGGCTTTTTTCCACCAGCTGGCATGTTATCTCTTGGGCCATACCTCTGGATCCAGCTTTTGTTTTTGCTGTTAAATGGGTTTTTTTCCTGTGTGGGCTAGTTTCAAATTTTGATCCTCAGATCTCAAGACTCTTGAATAGCTAGGACTTCCAGTGAGTGGTACAAGTCACCCAACAAAGATTAGGTGTGTGAATAGTTTAAAAAAAAAAGAATTCGAGGAGTCAATCATATTTTGGCGAGGGCACAGACGATTTAGGACTGCTACTCTGGTGAGTTGGTTCAGACTTCTACTCTGGTAAGGAGACCACAGATGTTGTTTGAGAGTCCCAGACTTCCTATTTGCCCTGGTGAGAGAAGAGAGACTGGAAGATCTTCCTTAGGTTAGGAAATGGCTGCTGGTGCTCTTATTTTTAGGGTGAGGGATGTGGAGAGACAGTACTCTTATTTGGGTGAGGGGATCAATACATCCTGAAATCTCATTCCAACAAGGGAATGGTTGGTCCCAGTGTCCTGACATACCCCCAACTCTGTGTCCATAGGTCCCTGGCGTGACTGTGCAGAGGCCCACGAGGCCGGACACAGGCAGAGCAGAGTGTACGAGCTCCAGCCGGGCCGCCAAGGGTTTGCAGCCTGGTGTGAGCAGCAGCTGGAGGGTGGCGGGTGGACGGTGATCCAGCGCAGGCAAGATGGCTCCGTCAACTTCTTCACTACCTGGCAGCAATACAAGGTGGGCTTTGGGCGGCCTGATGGGGAATACTGGCTGGGCCTCGAACCCATCTATCAGCTGACCAGCCGCGGGGACCACGAGCTCCTGGTGCTGCTGGAGGACTGGGGGGGGCGTGGGGCTCGCGCCCACTACGACAGCTTCTCCCTGGAACCCGAGAGCGACCACTACCGCCTGCGGCTGGGCCAGTACCGGGGCGATGCCGGAGACTCGCTTTCCTGGCACAATGACAAACCCTTCAGCACCGTGGATAGGGACCGAGACTCCTATTCTGGTAAGGAGGACTTTTATTCTGGTGGGAGGGCGGGGGAGGTGGGGCTTTACTCTGGAGGGGGAAAATG